TCTCTCCAGCAGCTCCACATCCCTCTTGTACTGTGGAGCCCAGAACTGGACACAATACTCCAGAAGCGGCCTCACCAGGGCCCTTCACTCTTATTCTACCCACCATCCTCTTCATGCAAGCCACATCTTTGCTCTATCTTGTTCTCTTTAAGCATCTTTTCTCCTCAAGAAAGGGGCACATTCCACAACTTGGATAATATCACTTTAAGTTATAACCTCCTAATATCAAGTACCCCAACAACAAGCTGTTGCAATAACAGTTTTGTGGGGAGAAAGCATGAAGAGTGTATAGTATGTTTAAATTTCCCGGAGAACCTGTTAGTTCAGGAAGGACCTGACCCCCAGGACTCTTGGCTGCCAGACTGGTACTTGCAAAAGCGGACAGGGTTTTATGTTTGAATACGAGTTCATAAGCATGTAAAAACAACCAGGTGGACAAACAACTACAGAAATAAAGCTAGGCAGTCCAGAGCTAAATATCAATACAGAATTATGGGGCTAGAAGAACCTGAAAGCTCACAACCAAAGAACAAACCTTTTTAGAATATAGAATTTTAATGCTAAGGAGAATCATACTAACCTCAGCCCAAATTGTCTTCTGTCCTCAAATTTCTCCTAAATGTGGCCAGTATAGACTTCTAGGAGCCTAAAGTACTTCTGATTTCTGAGAAGTGAGGTACCAACAGAAGACTGCTCCTAAAATATATATATAAAGTAGAAATTGTGCATACAGAATGCTGAAGGGAATATTGTAATGTTAATTAATAGAATTTTAAGGACTTTTCTTGAATGCTATAAAAATTAGAGATTTCAGCCCAAATTAAGGCAAGGCAATAGGAATCAAAGAAAATTATATAGCCAAAAAGTTGTGGGAAGAATATCTTTTCATCTGAATGACTAGAAGAGGCCACAAAATAAATCCAAATAGGCTTAGTTGGTCCAGAAACACATAAATTAATGTAACTATTAGATCAAAGCTGCCCATAAATAAAGTTATAAATAAAGACTGTCTATGTACCAAACTTGTGATAACATTGCATTCCAGTTAAGAATTTCTTCACAGTAGCAGTAATAAAATATCTGTTTCCTGACAATTTAAAAATTTAGGCAAGACAGTGCTGAAAGGTGGCAATCTGTTAGAATTTCTTAACACATTAAAAGATATAAAAATATTTCCAGGACTTTTTTTTTCTCTATTAAACCTATAAAATTATGCTACTCATTTATTTCTCATCAAATATTTATGATATTGTTCTGAGTCATCTAGTTTATTCCACATTAATATTTTCAGTAGAGGGATTCTGAAATTTTCTCTTAGGAGGTTTTCTTTTCCAAAATTGGTTTACTGAAATTGTTTTGTAGCTACATGTGCAGTATCAAAACCAGTCGCATTTCCCAGATCTGTAAAGGATCTTTCTTTTTGTGTGATGGAAGGGGTGGAGTGACGTGGAGAAAGGGTTTATGGAAATAGCTGCTGTTCCCTTACTAATATGAGAGGGAAGAGTTGCTCTTGATTCCACCCACCCCATGACTAGGTACTGTATAACCTGATACAAAAAGAAATATTGTTCCAGGGAGGAAGATAATCAGTAGTTACCATCTCTACTTTGCAAAAGAAAAAAAGAAATCATCTTAATTTGCAGAGAAATAGATATGGGTGGGATTCTTGGAAAATCTGTCAGAGCTGTCAAACTGATAAGACATTGACAGAGGGACTAGGTAAAATCTGTCTAGGAATGATCCAGTCTTCATGACTTCCAAGAGGCGATTGATCTTTTAGGGCTTCAGCTGTCTCTGCATAACTACTGTTAGCATTTATATAGCACCAGAGTGTGGAATGCAACATTTTTATTTCATTATATATATACATATGTGTATATATACATATATATATATATATACACATATACATAGTAATACACTAATAATATAAGTATATAGATGTATCACTAGTGAGTGTAAATATAGACATACACGCGCACACACCATCTCTCTACATATATATTTATATCACTTCAATTTGTAACAACTGTTTGTACCTCTTGAGTACAAATGCACAGCAGTAATGCTGAATATGTTCTGCAGTGTTCCTAGTAAAAAAGACCAGTTTGAATGGCATTATTTAAATTAATTTCATCTCATTTGCATCTTCTTTACCTAAATCAAACAGGAGACAAACTAGTCCTGGGTCATGGGTACACAAACTGCAAATGCCAGTTTAAGCCGATCACACACCTTCCTCTAGTGGCAGATGGTGCCACTAGGTGGTCCTTGGGTGGTCCTAAGATGCCACCACTTGACTGAACTTAATACTTTTTGGAAAAACTATATAACCCATCCGCACGCGTGGCAAGAGCTGTGATATTTGAGTTGTAAGTATGAAAATCAAGTTTATGTTTTAGTGTTATGTTTAGTGGCGTATCCAGCTATCAGACCTGTGCCTATGGGCACACTCTGTAGACCTCAGTAAACCTCACTTGGGTGGTCAACCAAACCCCTGGATAGTTACCTACACAGAGGAGATAATGGATTGGTCTGAGACAACTTAAACTTGATTGACTGAACACATACATTAAATACTGACTGATTGTTACAGAAGCTCCCCAAATGGTGATTTCGGACAGTTCTAGAAATTTCCCAAAGCATATCCTTCTGTATATTGTCAAATTTAAACATTTAAGTGTTGTGACTAACATCCTGGTTACAGTGTCCCATCCAGATCCTCCTCTAGGTTATTCTTGCCACAGAACTATGTGCAGATAAGCCATTTGTAAATAATAAATAGAAACTATTCCCGCAGAAATGGTCATGTGATGAATTATGCATGTGTTTGTATGGTCAAATAGGACCACGGCCAGCTGCATTATAACAACCTAGCAGATCAGTAGTTTGAGAAGTCTCTCCCCATCCAGCTTAAGTCACTACTGCTAGGACTCTTGCAGTGGAAAGTTCCTCATCACCAGTTAGCAACAGTCTTGTTCAGGAGATTTGACATTTGTATGTGAGCATCACCATGCGCCAAGATCCCGATAATTTTTTTTCTTTTTCAACATGCTCTCTGTCATAAATGTCTATGCAACAAATGAGTGAAAGTCCATTAAGGCCTAAAAGTATGAAAATAACCAAGAGCAGGTCATCATCTGCAGAATAACACATGCTCCCCCCTTCTTGTGCTTCCAGGGGCAAGAGAAGGCTATATTTTACATGGACTCCTTTGACAGCTGCTGCTATACAAGCCCTTGCTGTATGATGTGCACAGATGTGATCAATCATGGGACAGGGAGGTCATACAAAGTCTTTGGAAAAAAACAGCAGTGACTGATTGGCCAACAGAAGAGCTGAGCCCCCAGTCTGTTTTTGGGAGAGGTCTATAAAAAAAAAAGGGTTGACGAAGTGCACTAGTAGCCAGATGAATTATCCTGGCAACCTGTTTTACTAACATACATAAATCTCTGAAATTACACATATAATTTTCAAGAAACTTTGAAGGCTACTGTCATTTGTTAAATGATGTAAGCACTTCAGTTCTATGGATGGTTGTAAAGACTTAGAGATTCCTAAGTCACTTCGCAATTCAGAAGTATGCTTAGGAAGCAGAAATCTGTTTTCTGAAATGAATCTGACACAACTGAATATAAACCGTACTGGAAATCTATGAGTCTAAAGAGCTGGTGTAGATTTTGTAATAAAAGTAGATTTATAAGGATTTTTGAAACAAGGATTTTTGAAAACTTTAACTTTTTGTTTGTGATTTATGACAGTCTCCAACAGAGACTCCCAACTCCTGGCATAGGACAGAGTTGTGTTCATGTGATACTGACTGAAAATGGAATTGTAGATAAGCAATACTCACTCTGCTCTCCAGAATGAGACGAAGTTTGCGCTTGTCCTCCCATGTGCTTTCGCTCTTCTTTAGGTTCTCAGAAGTATTCATTTTTTTGTGCAGTTTATGACATCAGTCAGCATTTCATATCTGTCTTCTTCACCTCGTAAATGTGTATGTCTGGTGTGTTTTATTAGCAAGGAGTAAATGCTTCATACATGTTCATAACTTGCAAATACTTTATTCCATTTCCCATTGACCCAAATGAAGATCACTCTTGCAGAATGGATAGGCTCTGAAGACAATCAGTCTGCGGGTACCATTGGATACTCTAGCCACTAAATGTATTTTAGTTCAACTAAATGTATTTTAGTATTTAGTATTTAGTACATAAAAATGTATTTTAGCTCAACACTGAATGCTACCCAGCTGAAGGTGGTTACTTAGTTCCTATTAACCAGTGTATCCCCACAGCCAAATCACACTAGGGTTACTATTTAGACCCTATGTCTAAAATGATCCATGGCAAAACTTTCTCCATGAACTATTTCTTGGTTGTGCCTTAAGTCATATTACCCCTGTCTTTAGTCTATGACAATAGCACCAAACTTTTTCTCCATGGAGTCCTTTTAATTAACACGGTGTCCTTTTAAATTAGATGAAAAGAATTTGGGTTCCTCTACATATATTTTGCTACTACTTGACATCCAGCTTAATTGATTATTATAGAGTTTATGAACATTTAATGCTCAATCTGTAAGTTTTAATAAATAACAGCAATGAAGACCTGATCTTTCTGCTGATGACTTGCAAATTCCTCTGCACTATATCTGTCGATATAGGTATAGTATGTCCTTAGGTAGTGTTTATGAAAAATATGTAATGGAGATCATAACTAATATGTGTTTTTAAGTAATCAACAGGTGAGTTTAAAACAGAGGGAAAAAAATGCGGGGGAATGGAGGGAGAAGTGTCTATATTCTGGGGACAGTTAAGTTGCTAACACAAAGTGTTACAAATGACCTGAGCTAGAATTTTTGGAGAGGAGAACTGCATTTTAAATAGTTACCTTGGACTCTTACAATGGCGGCATTCAAGAAGAAGTTCTTCTCTGTGAAGTACTAATTCAGATTGTTGTGAATGGGCCTGACACTTAGGACACTTATTTTTATTTTAGGAGCGGCTGGTACTCTCTGTCTTACCGCGGTTTGTGGTTCTGGAAATGATAAACGATATGACCAATGTCGAAGATGAACATTTGCAACACCAGTTTCATAAGATCTACATTCATCGCTATGAGAATGTCAGGTAGGTGGAGGAGCCTCTCTTTAAGGCTTAAGGTCACTGATGGTGCTAAATGTGTGTTGAGTTTCCTTGCTGTTGCTTTATTCATTCAAAAATAAGCCAGTTAGTTAGTTACCCTGTAACCTGGTTTAATTCGTAAGCAGAGAAGTACTTTGATGTCTTCTTTTACCCATCAGATATTTGATGCCTTTGCCATATCAAGAGCTATTTCAATTGCACACTGAGGGTTGGGCCGTTCGTTTGGGGCATTTTGCTCTTCATTAAAATGTCAGGAATGCACAGAACGGAGAGCCTGAGTTGAGGACAGATGAACACAGATTCTGCCGTGACCTTATTTCCCCTTAACTGGTGAGGGTGAAGGGCCTGACAGACAATATGGTTTGAGAAATGAGATAAAGACTGCAAGATCCTTTAAAATATTTTGACCTGTTACATAGCTACTGTGATTAGTAGCCATTTGCATTTTATCTTTGTTACGGGTTATCATTTTTCTTAATTTCGTTTTTTTTTCCCTCTAAATTTTGTCTACCATAAAATTAGTTAGTAGGAAGCTAACTGATTTTATGAGCAGCTACTCAAGTAGCAAACCCTTCCTATACACACCAAATACTATCAACTATCATTCCATCATGTTCCAGAATCTCTTTGATTCTCTTGTAGTTCCACCCAATCAGATTATTAAGCTAAACTTGGAACTTTTGCTGTGAGTCACAAGTAAGCAAATCACAGAAACAAATGATTAAACTGCCATCACTGTAGCAAGCGAAAATGAGCATCCTTGAATAATACGAAGCAGCACGATTTACCAGGAAAGCATGTACTTTGCCTTTTAACAAAGCCCAAATATAACTTTGCCTGTGCCAGTTCAATAAATACAATGCTGAACTTCTACAAAAGAGAAAATTGATTTTCTGTTTCTTCTGTGACCTTACAGTAGCTCAGACATATGATTTTATTAAGTCTGGTAGAAAGTGTCAGGGACCTTTACAAAAAGTTTGCATTGAAATAAATTAAAATTTCTTTTATTACCTTTTCCATTCTCAGTTAGAGTTAGTGTTGCTGTAGAAGAATCAAAATGAAAAGAAGATGGCCCTTCCCTTTGAACCTCAGAAGAAAAGACCTATAGTTAGAGATGAAAAGTCTAAACATTTTTTGCTTGAAAGAGAAGCAGAGTGAACATAGCATATGCTTTAAAGTACAGATATTGGTCTGTTCCTGTACTTATTTCCAGGGACTAGATTACAAACCTGTGTTTTTGTTTTTGTTTTCATGAATATTTTGCACAGACTACTAAATAAAATAACAGGATATGGATCTCTAAAATTAACTTTTTTATATAAAAAAACTGTAGAAGCTGATTCTTTCTTGATTTTTTTAAATTAAAATATGAGTTGTTATTAACATTTATTCCTCTTTGCTTTGTCTGGTTCTTATTTTTTTTGCTTTTCTCATTGACAAAAATCCTGACGCAGTTTTCAGCCCCATAGTAATGCTCACGCAAACTTACCAGCCTGCATACCTCAAAGAGATGAATTGTCATTAACCATTTTTTATCACTACTGTATTTATTACAGCTTATACTACTGCTAATTGTGCAATCTCAAATTGTGATATATTTGTTCAATACACAAATGAAAATCTTCAGCTAGTTTAAACTCAGATTATAACACAAATCATTAGCTGATTAGTGCTAATGAGGTTCATTGGGGCTATTTCCAGGCTGTGCCAGTGAAACATGTCTTTCTGAATGTTGTTATTTTTTCAAAGCAAGATATATATACATATATATTTTGGTTTCTAAGTATGAAAGTAAGGAGTGTATGTGCTTTGTTCTGGGCAATAACAATCTTATCTTATATCACACAGGCTATGAGTGCATGTGTGTATGTTTTTCTACATTCACATGTGTTTATTGTAGGTATAGTGAACAGCCAAAGCTATATGGGTAGAAGATTCAGAGGCTGCTGAAATATTGGAGAGAGCCCTGTTAGGAACTAGCTTCTTGACTAAGATCTTATCATAAGTTTACATACTTTATCTGTTGCATTTAATTTCAAGGTATTGTGACACTAGACTTCCTATAAAGTCAATAGAAAGAATGAAGAATCATTCAAGAAATGACTCATATTTTACTTTTGTGAAATTTATGTGAATTTACAAAGTTAAATTTCTGACGGCAGATCTCTCCCTTCCCTCCATGATGAGGGAACGTATTCCTAGTTTAAGTACATGAGCACATCCCTAAAATCAGATGCAAGGAGGCTGGCCAAAGCCTGGGCCAATTTGACAAGATTGCTGTGAATCTACCTTTCCTCCTGGGATTTGGATCTTGAGTGGTGGGTACATAGCCGGGTCGGGCCTGAAAATTACACTATGAAAATAAATTTGTGAAGTCAAACTCACTGTAAAAAACTGCTACTTATAAATCTGTTTCCCAAGGAACACAGTCAGTTCCTGACAGAGAGCTGGGTGCAAAGGATACTGTCTGAAGGACACTGACAGCCCTCTGTATTATGATTCCACCTTGTCTCAGTCTTCTCCCTGGTAAAATGGGTACAATATGCTTATTAAGTCTTAACTGTATCTGTCTTGACAAAATAGTTTGATGAAAGATCTGCAAAATACACTTTTTTTTTTTTTTTTTTTTTACTTTTTCATGCTTGGTATTTAGCCTCTTCAGTTTTTATATTTGGTATTCCAGCATATCTAAAGGTCAACAGCTAAGGCAGCATGACCTTAAAATGGTCCTTCATAGGTAAATTGCTCCTTCTGAAAACCTCCCTCAGCCAGGCATAACTTTGATATAGAGAACATAGTAATAACAATACACTGGGTTGTATTTTATCACATTGCGAGTTACCAAAAGAAAGTAGACTTCAATATTAATATCTTTTGTCTTTTTTTTAGCATTCTTTTTGCAGATGTTAAAGGATTTACCAACCTCTCTACAACTCTATCAGCCCAGGAGTTGGTCCGAATGCTGAACGAGCTCTTTGCCAGATTTGATCGGCTAGCACATGTGAGTTGAGCACAGTTCGTTTACAAAGGGTCAGCTTGGCATTCAGGTGCTCTAGGGAAGAATTTTTGATCACCTTAATGGTATCAAAAGTGATGAGTCCGCATAGCAAGTCAAAAGAACTTCATGCTTTTCTAATTCTAGGCCAACAATATCATGAAAGATATTAGTATTTCTAAGGAAACTTATAGTTCTGTCACTTGCTGGAAAATGCCTTTAAAAAATAATAACAACAGCAACAACAATATAAACCAAGCACACCTTTCTTTTACTTGTCTTCTAGTCTTCTAAGTACTATGGAAGATTAAAGACCTATTCAATTAAATGACATAGTCAACCATCACAGTCACTGCAGTGGTTTAGTAGCAGGTTTTACCAACATTTAGGCTAAGGTCTTTCTAATTCAATAGTGAAATAAACTGAATACAATGGTGAAATCTAGTACTTTAAGCAGATTAGTTGCTGATTTATTAATACTACCTAGTAGAAAAAGAAGCAAAGCATAGAAATACACGCAATGCATGATCCATGCAAACTTTCTAGAACTGTGTTTTCTTTTCTTTTCTTCCTTTTTATGTTTCTCTGGTTCAGGATAGCATTCATCTCATCTATTTTAAGGTCTACACCAGACCTAGCTACCTGGTCTACTACTGTAGCCAGTGAAGTCCTAGTCAATATGTTTAATGGAGTTTAAGTTAGAATGTATCCATCCACATGCAGGAACTTACGGGAACTATGGGAAAAGAGGAATTGCATTCAGAATGTCATTGACCATTTAATTAGTTCTCTAATAACCATGAATACAGCCTCTCATTTATAAACCTTACACTCATGTGCACACTACACTGATCTTTATACATTTTTAGTTCAACGATGTAGGATATATGTGCACTTATTACACAGACATCAGCAAAACCCATGGTGCTGTCGCTTAGCTTGCAAATTAAAGTCATGAAGACAAGACTTCAGTAATTATCGAAAGTTGTTTTTAGCTAGCTATTTTTATCTGAAACAGTAACATGTCTTGTACAGCTTGATACCTTAGTCCATTACCTTGTCACTGCCATACTTGCCAGTGCAATAAGGTCAGTCTACAACACCTGTCTTGCAAACAAACAAGCAAAAAAACCTGCTCTGTATTTCATCTGCATTAGAAAGCAAATAAGATGAAAGAAGTTGCATTAGCTATGACTTCTGAACAGTTTAAAAGAATCATGACTACCTCTGTGTGTCTTGACAAAAATGTCTACCGACTGAAGAAATTCATTTAACAAAAAAATCAGAAGTATGTGTGTATGTCAAGGAGTATTTTTAGAATGCACATTTTCACATTATAATTTACCTCCTTGGTTTGGATTTCAATTTTATCTAGCTTTGATGATAGAATACATTTGTCTTTTATGATCTGGGATTCTGGGATTCTGCGATCTTACCGATCATGTTTGTGTATTTACAAATCAGGCACAAACTTTAATTTGTATTTTGATACAAGAATTGGATCCAATAAAGGGATTAAGGAGAAGAGGACATTTACACAAAAAAAAAATTAATCCAAACATTTAGTCCTTCTTCAGTTGCTGTCTGACTTTGAAGGCATTTCTCTGCTTGTTTTTAATATTCTATATAAACTGAAAATTGTGTTTTTGGAAAACATCACAATTTTCACAATCTGTGTGGCTGCGTGGTACCTCCTACTTAATCCAACCAGAAATCTTTCTTTTCAGTCCCAGACTAACAAGTTTTCTTGGAAAACAGTGACCATGCTAACATGGGAGTAGGTATCCCAGAATTTACTCACCCCATTTTATTTTAAAGTAGCAATAGTAGATAACCCAGTTTGTACAGAATAATCAAGAAATTAGAGCTCTTACCCAGACATTGAGTGAGTTTGGAATGACAGAACTCCTCAGTCTGCAGAGCTTCAGCATTCAGCCTGGCACCTTCCAAGTGAATGTCCCAATCACTAAATTCAAGATGTAGGCTCTTTCTTGTACCTACTAGCCTAACCTCTTCCTCTGCATTTCATGAGAAATCAGGACTCAACACTCAGAGTTCTGGTTTCTGACAGAGGGGTCGGTTGCCTAAATATTTTGTTGTACTTTTCCTATGACTCTGGAAAAAAAAATTGGAAATGAAAATGTATTGGTCCATGGACACGTTTTTTTTTTTTTTTTTTCTTAAAGCTGTGATTTCCATGGAGCTAACTTCACACCATTCATGTTATATGAAGTTTCTTATTTAACATCTGGCAAAGGTGTATCTTTCAGAAACATGCCCAGGCTTCATCTGAAGTTGACAAGAGATGGAAAAATCATCATATATCCTGGGAGTCTGTCCACTCCCTAATCAGTCACACTGTTTATACAGCATGAATTATCTCTCATGTCTCTTCTGGTTTTGAATAACATCCACGGAATCTTGCTGTGCCTAATTTTTCTCTTCTGTAGTCTTTTTTTTTTTCCTGGATGCACCTGTATGCTTTGTTCAAGCCACATTTCAGATTTCCTTTTGATAAAACAGAAAAAAACAGATCACTGTGAGTTTTTTTTTCTAGATGTGTTCTAGAAATAGTAATATATATTCCCTTAAATGAGGATTACACATTCCCATCTAGATTTGAGATCTATCACTTAATACTTATTCCTTATCCATTTAACATAAAGTCATCATAACTCTATAAAATACATGCTGTTACACAATCTCTTGGGTTTTGCAAAGAATTATCATCAAAGCAAAGAGGTCAGTTGCAGAAAGCTTGAGGCAGTTTCTTTAGATTTTGAGGAAAATCCTTATAAATCCTTATTTACTTCTAAATATACTTCTAGATAAAAATAGTATCGTATAATCTTATATAAGGGATTGTTTGATCTGTCTCATCTTCTTATATAAATCATATAATATTAAGGAAGATGCTATTGCACAGATTTCTTAGAAAAGCAATTTGGCTTAGTTGCTGCTTTCTCTTATCCAACCTTTCTTTTTCTTGTACAATGAAGACTCAATGAGAGCTCTTAGATTTTTTGAATCCTTCAGCCACAATTACCAAAAGCATTATGGCATGAGCAATGCATATAATTAGAAATTTTAAAAAATCAGGATATCTGGACCATTAGCACAAAATACGCTAAAAAAAAAAAAGAGTCTAATATTTCTTACAAGAAACAAATGTAACATTTTGTTATATACAGTTAATTCCACCTTCTGAATTACAGGAATATATCTGTGAAAGATTTATGGTTATTAAAGATGCAAGTGGCAACTGGAAAGGGGGACAAATGAATTGGCACTAAAAAAAGAGCTGAAAAGATTTCTACATACATGAATCTACTGAAATGTCTGAACAGAAACTTAATTAATATTAATGCTTTCCTTAGGCAGAAATTTTGAGGAAAGAAGGGAAATAAGATGACATTTGGTAAGATACTCACTTAAGGCTAAAAAAGATCCTACTTTGATCAAATAATAGCTATTTTTGACATTTTTTTTCCATAGTCTTCTTTGCAAAGCTAGATGTCAACCAATCATATTGCTTAAATTATTTGCCATATTTTGGAATATTCAGGCTATATGTAGATTCAGTTTCAGGTGAGAGAAAGGAAAAAGGTAAAACCCTAAGCAGAGGAGTTAACTCTGCAATCTTTGTACCAATAGGAGTTGAGTATGAGTCCAAAATAATGAGATCTAAAAATAGTATCAAGCCACAAATTTTAAATTTGGAAATATGCACACACAAACACTGTTTGAGTAATATACAGATATGCTTGGATTTGAGTTTGGACTAGTATTCAAAAGGAGGCATTAATGTTGAAACAGAAATATTCCCACAAAAGATTATTATCCCTAGGTTTCATGTAAGAATAAACTGAGTGGCCTGTAAGACACCTCATCTCTTTACAGTTTCATCAGCTTCAATAACACAATCCAGAACACTGCTGCCTCTTAGCAGGAATTCTTGTGGGGAAACTGCAGATGTTGGGTGTAAGAAAGACGCACAGTTTAATATGAGGCTTTAATACGTGGTGTTAGTGGGAGGATTATTTATGTAATAAGAATCGCAAGTTGCTTTTCTTCAAGCTCGCTTGCTAAAGAATGGATGAGTTTATTTGCTTACTTATTTTTCTCAAGGGAGTCAGTATTATTTCACCATGGCCAAAATCTGTCTTGGACAATTGCAGTCAAACAGCAAAAAGACTCCTCCTATAGTGGCTTTGCTTCTGACTAGTGAAGCAGCAGGCTAGCATCAGTCTAACCAGCAGATTTCATGGTTAGGAACACATCATGCAACCCAAGCACGTTGTCTGCACCAACTAATGACTAAGAGGGAAAAGTGGAAGGCACTGAAGGCTCCTTAGTCTTCACAATAAAAACACTCTGGCTTTAGTAAGTGCTTTACTAATCCCCTGCTACATTCGATGTTGGAGTTGGCAGTACTTTGTTCTTTTGTGAAATGATCTTTAAACAAAACTGAAAACTCTTGAGAGTCCCTAAACAAAACTGGATGTTTAAATATATATGACAGTAAATTAAGGCATGATTTTTCCATGTATATATATTTATATATGCATTCATACGTGCATACCTGAATACATGTGTTCCGGGTTCTGTATCAGTTATCAGGGTTATGAGTCTACATACAAGATATTTAATTAATTATAAAGACATATTAAAAATCTATAGTAACAGAAATGATATTTAATATTTTCTTCGAAGTTCTTGATTCTGTGATGTTTTCCCTCCTTCCCAGTGGCCATACATAATTATCTAATACCAGTGAATAAACAATACCTTAAAAATGTTCTAACTAATGCTATAGCATTTCCAATGCTAAAGAGCACAATAAATCATCAGAAAACCTACATAGTCAAAAAAACCTCCCAGTACATTAGAACACTTTTAGAAATGCTCATCACTTATGAACAATATATAGGCATTTATTGAAAAAGTCACATTAAACTGACTGATCAAAGAAAAATCTCAAGGATACCATCAGTGAATTAGGAATT